ATTTGCATGCAATTAATGTGTTGATTACAAATGGCTTGGATTTTCTCATTAAAACAAGGCAAGTAAGATCTCACTCTGTAACACTTGACCTTTGTAAACTTGTATTTCTTGAAAAGTTTGCCATAAATAAATGATGCCACTAATTTAGACTAATTCTTTTCTTCAGTGAGTCCAAATTAGAGTTTTCTGTGTGGCCAGTCCGAAATTGACCTGATTTCCTTTAGTAGCTTTTGATAATTTATACTTTGTCATTTTCCAGAAGGTAGTGGATCCAATTAAGGTAAACTGTTTTATGGTTAAATGATTTTTGTAATAGTTATAATTTGATAAAGATTGAAAGGGTGTTCAAGATGTAATTTTTCTTCCTTTATTATTCTGCCAAATCTTCTTTTCTGTAATCCTCAAGACTATTCCTACATTTCTGATTCCATATGCCCATAGCCCCATAAGGGACCCATATGATTTTCTACATTTTTAAAAATTGTCTTTGTTCTCTGCCTCATGGGAGGGGATGAGTTGTGAGAAGAGTTGTGCAAGTTTTAGCACATGGACCCAGATCAGGCCTCCTATTTGACAAAAGTTTCCAAATTTGACTTTGAATGACTAATGTGTCTTATTAATCTTGAATAATAATTTTAATGTCCTGTAGGAAGGATGGTTTCAGATCATCTCGGAATTCTTTTCAGACCATTTCTACAGATCGTATTCCATTGTAATAACTCCTCTTTCATTTTCAATTTTATTCATTTGTGTCTTCTTTTATTCTTTGTCTAGCTAGGAATTTGTCAGTTGAATATTAAAAAAAAAAAACACTTTTCAGTTTTGTTTATATTTTCTATTTGATTTATTTCTGCTCCAGTCTTATTATTTTCTTCTTTCTGTTCTCTTTGGGCTTACTTTTATATTTTCTAATTTCTAAAGTTATTAAGTTTTTATTTCAGATTTGTTTTTTTTTTAGGATTTTTTCATAAAGCATGTGCACTCACCAGAGAGAAACAGAGATACTGAGAGGAAAAGCAAGAAACCGCCCCCCGGGGGTTATGGCCATGCTACAATTCCTTCTCCTCCATCCTCCTCTCGGAATTTTGGGCACACATGCATACACGTGTACGGAGCATGGTTTTCAAGTCATCAGGTCCAGGACTCGAACCATAGTCAGCCATGTGGAAGTCCCAGCATCTTAACCACCACAGCACCTTTCTTTTTTCTCAATGTTGGTGAGTATCACTATAAATGTCCCTCTTACGGCTGTTTTTGCTGCATTCTGTGAGTTGCGATATGCTGCATCTCCATTCCTATTTGTGTCAAGGTATTTCTTTATTTACCTTTGAGGTCCTCTTTGACTCATTGGTTTTTCAACTGTGTATTGCTTAACTTCTACATATTTGTGAATTTTCCAGTTTTCCCTTTGCTATTGCATACAAGGCATTTTGCATGTGTGTGGAAGGGGGAGGACTCTGTTCAAAGCCAGAAACTATTTTTATGTTACCTTATTAAACCCGACAATAACATTATGGATTTATATATTATTATGCCTGTTTTATGGAATAGGAAACTGGGATCCAGAGTAGCTAAGTGGCATGCCTGTCTTTGAACAACTTGTAAGTGCTAGGCCTGAGAGTCTGGGAGAAAGTGCAGCAATAAAATCGTCTTTTGAACCAAGTTTTGAATTTTGTAGCTGAAAATCACAGTGTGATTTCCGTTGCACTTCTGCACATTTCCTAGAGATGATGGAGATAAACAAATGTTTTTCTTGATTGTAAAAAGGAGACTCTTAGATGGCATTCATTTAGAAACATGATTAATAGCACACATGATATGATGCATCAGAGTACTGCATATAGAATATTGACATATTATTTAAAAAACATGTATTTATAATATCATGTAAAGACACAGAAAATGAATCTGAATTCCTGTGTGTTTTAAATGCAGCAATTGGTAAGTTTTAAATCCAGCTCTTTATTTTTTATGATTCAGGAACAGACCGAGGATGTTCCTTGCACATGTTAGGTCATCAGAAAAGTCATGACATATTTTTCGATGTTTTTTTTAATGCAAAAATGCATCATGACTTTTCCAACGACCCAGTAAATATAAGATCATGCAACAATCACTCCTTCACAGGGCTTATGTAGTGCAAGTCAAAGTTTAACAGTCCCATAGGGATGTGCAAACAGATGTGCCTGCTTGCTTTAAAAAACAAAGGCATTTCCCTGAATAACTTCATTTCTTTCCGGCTAAAGCAGTCATTCTAATCAGAAGTTCCCCTGCCTTGCAATATTCAAAGGACTGTCTTTTCTCATGGTGAACCAGGAAACAATATTGTTTTCTATGGAAAATTTGCCTCACAAAATTATCCTGACTTTGAAATGTTTTTAAACTGAAACGATGGGCAAAACTGTCCTTGGGCACCCTCACACAACCACCAAAAAAAAAAAAAAAAAAAATTAGGAAATTTCCACTAACTGAACTGCTTAATCATAACTTTTACTTTCTTCATATTTTATACTTTGGATATTGACAGACCCCCCCTCCCAACACTACCCCCTCACACACACACACACACACACTGTATTTAAAATTTCATCTGGAGCAGACAGAAGGACTGGCACAGCACATGAGCATTTTAATAATAAACCATGTCTCTGGGAGTCAGAAAAGGATCATGTCTTTTTTCTTAAGACTTTCTTCATTCATTTACTCACTCATTTTAAGGGGGTATCTCACCATATTCAATCCTCTCTCCTGCCTCAGCCTCCCAGCTCAGATAACAGGAATATGCCACTCTGCCCAGCCATCTAGGTTGGCCTAGGAATCCAACCTGGGCCTCCCATGTGATCCTAGCTTGTAGAGCACAGCATCTGAGCAGTGCACGCCACCATGGCTGGGCCTAAGACTAATGTTTAGAGCAGTTTTAGATCCACTGGAAAATTTAGAGAAAAGTTCTGGGATTTTTCATATATTTCCTATCCCTACCCTTTCATAACCACTCCTATTATCAACATTCCTCACCAGAGTGGTATATTTGTTATAGTAAATTAATCTATATTAACAAATTTTTGTCACCTCACGACCATAGTTTCCATTAGGGCTTCATTTTGGGCATTATATTAGGGCCTCAGGAAAGTCATGATGCATTTCTCTCTGTTTTTCTTTGCAGATATGCGTCATGACTTTCCCAATGACCTGAAACATTCTATGGGTTGAGACAAATGAATAATTTAACATAGTATTGTAATATAAGAAGATATTTTCATATGCTAAAAGTCCTCTGTGCTCTCCACCTGTTTATGCAATACTTAAAATCACACAAAGTTGTGTTTTGGTTCTAAGGAACCTACTTATATTAGGGACACCAGAAGTGAAGTGCACATGCACATGCTACCTGCACCAGCTTCTGTGATCTCTGCCTACTTTTCATGTACTATTTTTCCCATAAGGAAGTTTCTAGAAATAAAGCTCATTTTGTTAGAAAATAAGTAAGAATGAATTTGCACATAGATGCCAGCTAAACCCACAGTACGGTTTAAAATACAAAACAGTTCCACATTGGTAATTATGCAAAACATCCCAAATATGAGGCTGTCACACCCAAGGAAAAGATACAAATTTAAAAATCTCATCACTGTGTGACTTTTTGAGATTTGTGCTCTTCTCCCATTTCATGTACATCACATGTTACTTTTTCATCAAAGCAAATGGTTTGTTTCATTTAAAATTTCTTCAATGAGCTTAGTGAGAACAGCTGCAACGCAGGTCTCTTCCTTCACACTGATACTACTGAGTATCCTTCTTTGTTCTGTTTCCACTCTACACTTGATTAACTATGTCTGCACAAAGTCTGCTCAGCCACCTGTCTCCATGTCCATAGCTAATTTTTGTTTTCTCCAGGTAAGAAAAAGAGTAGACAAACACATTAGTATACTTAAGAAAGGCAATCTATTAATTTTAAGGAAAGGAAGGAAGGGAGGAAAAAAACCAAAAATAATAATAATAATAACCTTTATTTTTAAAAAGCAAATGTATAGGAAACTGCAAAACAAGAAGCAAAGAACAAAAACGAAGGGCAGTCACAAGTGGTGTACAGTTTGTTGTGTCTGTCTAGGTTGTGTGTGTGCACATGCAACACCCAATTTTATGTGATTGAATTGTGCAGTATGTATCACATTTTTTTCACACATCATGAGTATTTATCAACTTGAAGTCTATTTGGATAACAAAGAATAAACTTTACCCACTCCGTCTGTTAGAAAAAAAAGAATGTAATCTGCCTTTCTTGGGGACAAAAATCTCAGAGGACAAAAATAGCAACAGGCTTCCACATAAAAGTACCAGAAGTCGTTATTAAAATATTGCACTCCCTGGGCCCACAGGTTGCATGGTGAGTAAGGCAAACTCTGGATTCATCTTATCAATGGGCACTAAACCTTTATCTCTCTAAACTCCCTGCCCCATCAGTGAACCATCAGATCTTTTTACCTCCTGCAAATTCACGAAGGTATAAATGAGGACTCCTTTGTCCTCTGTATACACTATATACACAGCAAAGTAAAACAAAATGTGCAAAGAAAAAGGACAATGGTCTCACCACAAACAACGGTCTTTATACAAACGTGTCAGTATAAAGCCCTTTCTATCTACACCTGTAATAATAGGTATTGCTCAGAGAAATGATTTGATCATTCATTTCCAAAAGTCCATTGCTTATGGGAGGAGAAGGGATTGCGGCATGGTCATCCCCCCTGGGAGGTGATTTCTCGTTTTCTATCTCTCTGTCTGGCGAGCACACACACCCTATAGCAAAAAAAAAAAAAGAAAAACAAAAACAAAAAATCCATTGCTTATGAATTTTAACAAAAGCTTAGCTTAACAATGAGTTACTTACTACTGTTGCTTTTAATATATTTTGTTAAACACTTATAAACATGTAGAAATATTTCAAATAAGAACCTAAACTTATCCACTATGTATATAGTAGTATTGAATAAATTACATACATGTCATAATGGTTACATCTGAGAGTGTCTTCCAAATAGGAATATTATAGTCTAGAATTCTTTATTTCTTCCAACTTCTTTCTCTCTACCACCAACCTAGTGGATATAGGCATATGTGTCTCTTAGCATGTTACAATTTCACTTCCAGAAAATCCTTTTTAACACAAAGTATACAAGATATGTAAGTCTACTAACTCTACTTTTGTCATACATTAGCAATCTTTTTAATATCTAGAGACTAGGTATTGTAATATTTGGAATCATTTGTCCAGTACATATGTAATATGCACAGTAAAACAAAGTTAAATGAAAATCACTAAACATGTAGGGCAATGGATAAGCTGAAATGATCTAGTCCACACTAGCAAAAGCATCTTTTATGATTTATTCCTTTCTACCACCCTCAACCCGATGAGCAAGAATAGTGTTCACAGAGTTGGTTTAACTAACAATTCTATTTCCAAACACAGTGCTTCCTGTCATTTAAAAAAATATTTACAAGATATATTATCCTACTACTTCTACATAAATAAAAAAAAAAGCACTTTATCGAGAAGAGGATTCCTCATGGTTCCTGAGAACTAGTCATTTCAGGGGACAGGAGAAATGAAGATTTTCTACTGATAATTAAGCCTCCAGCAAACAAAGCGAGAGTGGTAGGGAGCCCCTCTGGCCTTCTATCTCTGTCTCTGTGTCTCTGTCTCTCTCTGCTTCTGTCTTCTCATTTTTTTGTAACTTTTCCTTTTTTTTTTTTTTTGGAGAGGTTTTTTGCTATAGGGCGCGTGCGCTCGCCAGACAGACAGAGAGAGAGAGACAGAGACAGAAAGCGAGAAATTACCCCCCAGGGGGGATGGTCACGCCACAATCCCTTCTCCATTCTCCTCTTGGGATCTTGGGCACGCACGCACACTCACCCAGCGTGAGTTTTAAGCCACCGGGTCCGGGACGTGAACCACAGTAGACTACGTGGGAGTCCAGCGACATAGCCATTACGCTAACTGCTGGTTCCCTGTAATTTTTCCTTTTTACGATTGTTTTAAAGGTAAAGTTTTTCTCTTGCTCCCAGCTCCACCTTTTGTTTTGTTAATAACCCCCTCTGATCCTTCTGCCCAGTCAGGAGAGTTGAGACCTTCCTTCAGAAGAGGATTCCTCATGGCTCCTGCAAACTAGTCATTTTCTTTTTAATTTTGTTGTTGTTGTTGTGTTTTTGTTTTTTAAAGAAAAATGATAATTACAATTTTTTTCCTTTTTTGGTCTTTTTTTCTCTTTCTTTGTCGTTGTTTCTCTCTCTCTTTTTCATTTTCTTTTTTCTTGTCTCACCACTCTTCAATATCTATTTAATGTTAATGTATCTAAGGGCACTGTAGCTAAACATCCAAATACTATTAGGGTTAACATATTCCTCAATATCTACTAAATCTGCTGCACCAGTGATCACAACAGAATGGTAAAGAGATTCCAGATCACCTCTTTCTGCTTGCTCTTGAACACTCAGATTGAACTTCAAGAATTTGAAAGAAACACACCATCCATCAGATGACAAGAAATCACTGTAGGACCACAAGAAATATGGGAAAGTAAGAAAATACCTCTCCTCCAAGGGAAAAGAATAACTCCTCTTCATCCACAAGCAGTTCAATGCAAATCATGGAAATGTCTGATAAAGACTTTAGAGTATTCATAATGGCGAAGCTAACTGAGATGGAAGAGAACAGAGACAATGAACTGCTAAAGAGAAAGGAGAAAGAAGTTGA